TGAAAGTCCAGATTTGCGAATTTTCTCAGCTTGGAAATGTAATCTTCCATTTTGATAAGGCGGATTGTAAAGGAGATATAAACAAGCACGAAGAAGATTGTAGGTAGCGCAAGAATCTGTGGGCTCACTAGCGCCCTCTGCCTTGAGGCAGGCATACTGTTTGCCTCACCGAGTAACTTTTTTACTTGGTTTTATGGTTAATCTGTGAGCCTAAACACGTAACGGAACTACATTTTATACATTATCCAGATTATGGCAAGGCAGAGCATATAATCAGTGTTTGAAAGCATTTTATTTGCGATATATAGAGGGGCAGCGACACACTATTTGCATCGCATACAGTTTGTGAGGATTATACGATCCACCGAGAGGCACAGCAAAGTGCTGCCTCATCGCGCATCTCCTCCATGTATTTGAATTCTGCTATTCTTTATTGAAAAAAAATCCTTCAACATCGGATTCGAACGGCAAAAGGGCCTACAACACACACCAGCTGACAAATATTAACATTTATTATATTTTATGGTTAACTTTTTTTTTCTTTTCAAGATTGACAAGGGAGGCTCTGCCTCACCTGACCACACGTCACTGCTGCTACTGAGTGTGTGTCTGCATCTAGAACCATGTCACTCAGGTTGCTAATCCTGCTCTTTGGCCTGGGACTGGTGAGTGGATATAATTTGTGTAATATGTATCTTAAATGCAAGACAAACCTTTGCTTTAATATTTTGTTGTCACTTCACTCAGTTTCACAAGTAAATCATTTCATCATTTTTCTATTAATTGATTATTGTGCTCTCATATTTATTTTACAGGCTGCAGCCAAGCTAACAGGTGAAACATGTCAGTCAACCATATTGTGGTTATTTGTTTAGTTTTTTGTTAGTCACAGTCAAAAAAGGGACAAAAACTGAGGTTGAGGTTAAATTACTCAACTTGAAGCAAATCTTTAGAATCTGTTCTTCAAAGGCCTCACACAATTGTTTTAACACAGGACTTGTGCTTTTTTAAGATGTCCCATGACCTTGTTTGTACTGGGCTGCTTTTAGCTGTCCATGCAGCAAGACAACAGGAAGAGTTCTGGCTGAAATCTTAGGCTCAAACATGCACAGGCAACCAAAATTTCTGACACTTACCCAAAAATCTGAAAGCCAGTTATGGTTCACAGTGCAAATATCTGCAGATTTTAGGAGTGTGGTGAGAAACTTGAGACCTCTGGCAGCCAGAACTGACTTCACAGTAAACAGGAGTAGGAGGGAAAGTTTTATCTGGTGACAACAAATAGGTTCAGTTTTTGGATGTAAACCAGATCCTGGAGCTATTTACTATTTAACGTTAGTTTATATTTTGATGTGTACTGTTTTACTGTATTACGTTTGGCTCAGTGATAGAAGCCCAGCTGAGGTCTAAAGGGTAACCTACTGCAAATAACCCAGTCTCCCAGTTCCCTCTTACTAGATTACATTTTAGATACATTTGCACATTTTCCTTAGTCCTCTATAACAGTCTGCAGGTACATGATAACAACGTGACAAGGTGAAAACATGCAGTAGTATTAACTTTCTAAAACCACTGTGGCAGTGTTAACCTACAATTACAAGTTCACAGCTAATGCTGTACAAAAGCAAGATGCCACCCACACTTACCTTTCTGAGACCTCTGCATGGTCACAGCGTGGTACTGCGCTCTCCAGCGTGGGGCATGACTCAAAACCCACTGCACCAGCACAGTGTGAACAATATATTTTCTACCTCCAATTCTGATACAGTGTCTGTGTTTATAGTTATGTGACTGATTCTTTATCCACAAAAACTGATGTTGATGAAGGCCATGACTGGGACACCTTTAACATCAATGAAGGTCTGCAGACTCTATTTTTGTTTTGTATTGTGTACCTACTGTAAGTCTGTTAAGGGGTTTCACCAACCAACACACTTTCCCTTTGCAGTGGCCGGGCTGGACCTGCTGGAGGGCAATATTGATCAGGTGGAAGTAAGTCAGTGTGTGTAGACACCAAAGACTATGCTGCTATTACTGTTTACTAATCTGTGTATTCAGACCTATTTGTGTTATATTTGTGGCTAAATGTTTGCATGCACATATGTTCTATATATTTTTAGAAAGTGCTTCCCTGCTTTCTTAGTAACTGATGAGCCTACTATTACAAATCAGAAATGACCTAGATCAATTATTCAGTCAGTGTGTGTCTGCATCTGGAACCATGTCACTCAGGTTGCTAATCCTGCTCTTTGGCCTGGGACTGGTGAGTGGATATAATTTGTGTAATATGTATCTTATTTCCTTATGTGCATGCAAAAATAGTCTATAATCATATGGCTCAGATGAACCTTCACAGTAATATCAGCTCACCTATGTAAAATGATTTGAAATAACTAAACTGTTGGCAATAATAAAACTTCATTTGTCTCAGGCCTCATTTTGTAAGAAAATGTCACTGAGTAATTCTGCTCCAGAGACAGTTTTATAGAACTACAAATGTACACATAGTGAAGCCTTCTGGTATGAAGACATAGCAATCAAAGAAGGCTTGTCATTTAAAAAACATGATTATAGCTGTATCAGACAGTGAGTCTGTTCACAGCTGTGCTCTGTTTCTCCATTATCATCTCCGACTTTAAACAGCATGTGCTGTTTTCTTCATTCCTCTGAGACATTCAGGAGAAACTCTATCCTAGGACATACATACCACTGGCCAACAACTGTTCCCTATTACCTAGAGGACAATCTGGGTAAGACGCTGAGCTATGGAAACTCATTCACAGTGTTTCTCTGACCATGCACCAAATTAAGATGCGTTTTCATGTTCTTTTGTCTTATGTTTTGTAACATGTAGACATGAATGCAAGAGGAGTGATCCTGAAGGCATTTGACCAGTACAGACTGAAGACCTGCATTGACTTCACACCATGGAAAGGGGAGAAGAACTACATCTCTGTGTTCAAAGGCAGTGGGTGAGTTGCCCTTCACTGTGCTGTGTTATGCTCCTGTAGTACACACTGCCCATTACAACACTATCTCAGTGCGTATACATGCTCGCTACATGTACATGTTTTTGTAAATGAAGTCACATTATATGCCCATGATAATAAGTCTGTGTGCAACAAATGTTACATGTAATGTGAAAGGGATTTTTTAAAACATGAACTAGCAAATCACCAAACTCTTCTTTGTATTTGTCTGTTTACAAATAGAGGGTATTTTTTTCCATTTGATAAATAAGGACACCAAATAAAAACAAATAGCACATGCTCGGCTGCACCTGCCTCTCTCACTTCCCTCTTTGTGTTCTTCAGTCCCTGATCACGTCACCTTACACAACCTGCCACTAGTTTTCTTGATTACACCAGCTGTTTTCACTTAGTCCTTCACCTTATTTATGCCCACTTCATTTCACACTCTCTTGCAAGTTTGTTCGCTTGTTTCCAGGCTGACAACCCTTGTTATTTTCTATAGTGTTTTCTGTTTTGAGTTGTTTCTAGTCTTAGCCATTTTTCTGGATTATTGTCTTGTCTTTCCCAGCATCCACGCCACACCTCTCCAGTCCCTCTCCTCCTGACCACCTCTCCAACGGATTACCTTCTCCGGACCATATGCCATATGCCAGTCCCGCTAGTCAGGTTGATGCACAGTCCTACAAACTGCTCATCTCACCATTGTCTTCTACTCTGTCTTCTCAGCCGTTGTTCACCTCAGCCGACCAGCCAGTAAGTGACCCATTCAGTTCCGCAGCTCGGCCCACCTTCTCTACCACACCTTCTCTACCACAGACTAGACTCATCCCTATACTGATCAATGCCCGGTTTTTCCTAATACCCATAGTGAATTTGTTCTGTTTTTTTTGTCATGGTGTGTGTGTGTGTGTGTGTGTGTGTGTGTGTGTGTGTGTGTCTGGTCTGGTATGGCATGGTACACATTACATTCGTTTGCATCACCGTCAACCCTCTGGGTCTATTCTTTGCTGCTCACTCACTTCCCTGTGTGTGAGCGTACCCTCAGGGAGGACCGTGGAAGATCATTTAATTTGCTTTAACGTATTTGTTTGCACAAATCCCACTGATATTCCAGCAGTGGCTGCACCAACATAAAGTCAGCTGTCACTGACATCATATTTAGGGTGAGATAGGTAGGCCTATGTTAATTTATCTTAAAGGCCGAATTCCGGGTATTCTCTTTATGCTGTCCTCAGGTAAAGAGCACAACTTCAAGAAATACAATGACACAGTGTCAGTGCTCTGGTTGTTCCCTATGACAGTAAGACGTACTTCAACAGTGGCTCCAAGCCCACCATTGTCACCAAGGTCTCCGACTTCATGGATGTGATTGGCCAAAGGATGGAGTTCAGTGTTGAGTGACCTAACCAAACTCAACCATCTCTACAACTGGGTGCTTTCACACCTACAGCGTTTAGTTTGATTGAATCGAACTAGAGTTCGTTTTCCCTCTTGGTGCGGTTCATTTTGTCTGGTGTGAACACGGTAATCGCACTTGAGTGCGCACCAAAACAATCGCACCGAGACCCCCAAAATGAGGTGGTCTCGATCCGCATCATCTAGCGAACTCTGGTGCGGTCCTCCTGGTGAGAACGTGTATCGAACCAAAACGAGACCAATGGCCGTGAATCACATGATTTGAGGGCATTGGATTATGGGTAGATTTTATTTCCTGTCACCAAAAACATGCGCCAGGATGAATCGTGGGCAAACTTGGGAGTCATGAAGAGGTAAAATGCCTCGTAGACATCTGGTCGGATGACTACATACGGGCACAACTATCCACTACACACAAAAACAGCTTCGTTTATGCACAATTTAGCAAACGGCTCAGGGAAAAGGAAATCGAGAGGTCTGCTGCACAATGCTGCGCTTCATTTTCAAAACTGTACAACTTGGTTTAAGTGGTAAATGCAAGTAACGTAATGCAAAATAACCAGGGCGAGGCCCAACCCACGTATGTTTACCTCCATCCTCATCACAGAAATGTGGACTTTCTTCCTTTATTTACTTTTTCTGTTCTCACGGCAGACACATCTGACCAATAAGCGGATAGAACGTTCTCGCGTAGTTTTACGTGACGTGTTTTGGTGTGCTTGGATTTTTCTGTGTGTGTGAAACGAACCCGAACCAAGGAGACATTGCTACATGTTTACAAACTCGTTAACTGATTCGGACCAAAGCAAACGAATTAAGGTGTGAAAGCACCCAAAGAATGAGACAGGTTAGCTTTACTGCACAAACCATCAGGTGTTTGCCATATAATGAGGGGGCTACACAAGGCAAAACCCATCATACATACAGGACATAGGAACTATACAGTGGTAAGTACATTTACTCAAGTACAGTTGTCAGGTATCAGTACTTGAGTAATTTCATTTCCCGCTATTTCATACTACAACTTCACTACAGTTTAGAGGGAAATGGTGAGATTTGCACTGCATTTATTTGGTAATTTTAGTTATTTTCAAAATTAGATGAATAAAACAAAAGCCTGTATAATCATAAGACTTTATAGGACTCTGGTGGGAAATTCACAAGCTACCCTGCATTACGTCAAACTATAAGCATAAAAAGGTGGTTAACATTAGATTCACCAGCTACAGCATTAAGTGACTATGATATACAGTCATGTGAAATGTGCATAATAAGTACTTTTACTTTTAGAATGTTAAGTATATTTTGATATTATTTTAAATGCTGGACTTGTACCAGAATATTTTTACACTGTGATATTGCAACTTTTACTAAAGTTAACAATCTGAGTTCTTGTTCCACGACTGGGACTATATAGGAGCACAGCAAAGACAGGTACTGTCTCAGCTTCAACGGTTCATTGGCACCGAGTTCATTCACTTTTGGTTTGCTGCTGTTAGGTGGCAGTCAGTGTCTGCAGTTCTTCCACCATAACACTGGTGCAGTAGATGATGTGCTCAGTATCTGGGTACAAAGGTCTGACGGGGCCAAGCCTGGTGATAAACTGACGCTCCTCAAGAACATTTCAGGTAACAAATTAAATGGTACATGTTCAGTGGTCTATTGGAAAAATAAAAACCTGCTGTGACAAGAACCTGATTAGCAGAAATACAGCACTGAAGGACTTAAAGCAACACTTGGACTGCACCAGATTTCACCTGGATTCTGAGTTTTCAGCAAGAGTGTTTGAAACTAAAGTGATACTATAATGACATTAATTATATCCAGTGAAACTTTAAAAGCACACACAGTTTATATAATGGTTTCACCCATAATATAGTGGAGGGAAGTGATCAATCTCTATTCTTTCTGTTACAGGAGGTGTCATGGGCTCCTGGGAACTACACAACATCAATCTGAATGTGACGAAGGCCCGTGTGGTTTTTGATTTTGGAGGGTGTGAGGGGAATGAGTCCATCAAAGGGGGGTGGGGGGTTCTCTCTGGATGACAATTTGTCATCCACAAAGTGCTATTAGCACATCTGGCACATCTGCAACATCACCGGCCGGATGGCCACCACACCAGCAGGAAGGAAATTATACAGCCCTCACTTTCTGTCTCCAGCAGGCTACTCTTTCCAGGTACACGCCTCCTTTTCTCAACGTTATTTTTATCGTGTTTCGTAAGATGTAGTTCACAGAAAACACAGTTCTGCGTGTTTCAGAGACACATTGTAATATCTGTGATACAGTACAATTATGTACAACACAAGGTTTTAACCCATAATACAAACGAAAAGGGAATAAAATTTAAATTAAAGTATTATAATGTTTATATTTATGTTTTCTTGAAAGCATGCAGGAAGATGAGGGGGGAAATGGAAATGGCATGTCGGTAACCCCTACTAATAAGCAAGCTGCCATGTCTGAAAATAAGAGCCCACTGCTACACATTAACAGATATTGCTAACGCACACTTAGCATGGCCTGTAATAGCAACATGACATCCAACAATCAGTTGCATTGTAACAAATGTATGGTTGTGAATAAATTTGTGTCAGGTTTGCCCGGCTGCCCCTGCCTCTCTCACTTCTCTCCCTCTATTTTAGCTCCCTTACCCCGATTTCTTTATCTGACACACCTGCTTCACGTCCCCTGAATCACCACCAGCTGCACCTGATTAGTTTCTTCCTATTTATACCGTGCTCACTGTCTACTTCCCTGCCAGTTCTTTCTAGACTCTAGCCCTATTCTATGCCTACCTATTATTTGTCTTATATATAATTTTTTTGCTCACGCTTTTCTTCCCAGCTATGTTCCTGCCTTGTGCCCCGTGTCTTGTCTTCCCAGCCGCTATTGCTTCTCTGGACCACGGATCTCCTCAAACC